AGCTAGTGCCACATTGGTCAACACACTGACTTTGAGTAGTAGATAGTCTGCTTCATTCATTTTAATGTGGCACTGTTGTTTATGTTTAGAGCAGGGTTGAACTGCTTAACATCCAATTGAAATTAACCATCAGCATTGTTTTTTTTCCTGATAACTGTTTCTAGAAAGAAAATCCTTTTCAGGAGAGTGTTTGACAGTTGTTTTCCTTTTGGTTAAGTGTATCTATCTATTTGGGCTCCTTGAGTCAATTTTCTCGTAACCCTTTCCTAAGATATAGGTTCTGAGCAGGTGTCTCATTATGTTTATCCCTTCCCCCCATAGGGATTCTTTAATTTGCTAACGCCAAGACGATATGTGCTGAATGCCTGTTTACAAGTATGACGCCCTAACGTCTCTATATCTGACGATGGAATTGTTATTGTTACAATTATTTTTATCCTTAATCTTACTCTTATTTTTAGCATTATTTTCAACTTTATGTGTTTGATCTCACTACATGTTTAAACTCAGAATTTTATATTACTATCTGTACCGTTACATCAACACTTACATACAAAGTTTTGTACATTTATTATGTTCAAGGATTCCAGATGATTCTTTGTAATAATTGCAAATGATTAGCTGTAACAATTTCCTTTTTGTAACTCGCTATGGTGATACCTCCTACCTTGTTTTTGTATTATGCCTAAAAAAAACAATAAACAATTCTAATAAATAAATACATATTTTCTGTGTTGTACATTAACTTGCTTCCTTTTATAACTAGGGCTCCCTGGGACCAACATTATTTCCAACTTTCCACTTGTTTAAGTAATGGGTCTCCTTTTCTTTATTGACAGATGGTAACCCTATAAAAGTAGCATGTTTTATCACTCGGAAGAGTCCCTATAATGGCCAGTCACATGTTGACTCTGCAAGACAAAAGTTTCAGAAATCTCATGCCTTTTCACTTCAAGGACATATTATTGGATGTAAAATTACATTTGAGTGAGGGGCAAATAAGGCTGTATAGGAAGTAAAGAGGGAAATAAGTCGGTTGAGGTGTGCCGGAACCGACGTCGTGGTTGGCCTGTAATAAAAGAGGGCAAAAATTGTATACCTGCCAGAAACATAAAACAATCAACAAAACCTAAATTGCCTAGCTGTATGGTAAATGCCGAGCGAGTAAATAGTTGCCCGGCACTTTAACCGGCACTCTTAATTGTGCAAGGGGAAGTATGGTATATTAAACGTGTTGGCCCTCTAGGGTAGACTTAAGTGTGTGGTAGAGAAGGTAAACAATAGACTGCATGAATAGGTGAGACTTCATGAGATAATGCTGGAAGGACGTGGTGGTTGTGGGAAATATGTGAGACCCAAGAAACTGTGGAAGCAGGTATAGCGGCTCAACAACTAGATTACATAGTTAAAGTGACTAGTGTCCACTAGTACAGCCTTCCTCGCATCTGTGTATAAACGGTTGATCCAAAAGAAGGCAAAAAAGCCAGTTTGAAGCGCTTCCAATTTGCAACAAGCTAGGGAAAAATTCCTTCTTGATCCCAGAATGGCAGTCAGATTTTATCCTTGGATCAAGCAGTTATTGCCCTACATTGAAGGTTGATGCTCGGTACATAATGACAGGCATTTAATAGGTCTGATAGTGATTGAAATACTTTGATGTTGATGTGAAATCTGCAAAATGTGAAATTTCCCAGAACCTGAAAACGCCTTGAGTATGATAATAATGAGGTATGAGGACATGAAACTGCTTATGAATGGTAAACCTGTACAACATATGAAGTTGTAAACCGGATAAGTAGAGTTGATGCAAGTTAGAGGTGGCAAAAGAAGCGAAAACCAAAAATGCAGACAACATAGCAACAAAGACAGCATCAGTATACGCGAAGAAGGAGCCTCAAAGGGGCAGAAGGCCCGAACACATGTACCGCGAGCATTGGAACAGAGCCGGATGTGAAAGATGATGACAACGAGCTAACAAGGGTGGCAGACCGTGATCGGGCCCTGAAACGCCGAGAACAGCAGCGGCTACGGGAGAGGCCATAGGCAGAGCCATGTGGAAAGCGTAGAGGAGGCACCGGACAGATCGTACGAAAAGGTGCAGGAAGTCTGGATCAGAACCAGCCAAAGTGGCAGATGCCAGTTACCCTAAACTGCCATCCGACACCGCTCCATAGATGACAGCAGCGCAGACAACCGGGGGGCAAAAACGGAGAAGTAAGAGCGAAACTCGTGGGCCCCCTCCAGCAACAGCGTTACCCGTGGGGTGCAGACAGAGTTCAGCTGTCCGAAAGGCTGCCAGGTGGGGGAAAAAAGGCGACTTGCGAGAACTGTAGAGAAGAGAGGAAGGCCCCAGGACCCGAAAAAAAAAAAAATGTAGGAGTAGCAGAGTCTCCACAGCGTGATGGGTACCAGACCAAGCCAGAGAGCCGGGCAGAAAAATACCATGCCAACGCTTAACAGCGGAGACCTGCTAGAAGAAGAGACGAATAAACAGCGCATAAGCGACCCAATGAGCGTGTGTGTGTGTGAATGTGTGTGTGTGTGCTGGCATACTAGCTAATGCCAAAAAGGTAAAACAATTAAAACTAGGTGTGGTGACAGGTAAGGCCCTGCTAGATGCCAATCGGCGTGAGAGGCTCTATCTATGCGTTGGTGCGAGGGGATAATGTGGCCACTGAAACATTGTGGCCTCTCGGTGACAGTTAATCATAAGATAGAATGGGAGTGACAGGTGAGGCCCTCTCTATGCCACAATGCGAGGCGACTAACTATGATTTGGCCCGAGGGGCGTAGTACCTCTGAGTATGAGGATGGGTGTTGACCTCACGGGACCACTAACCTACGGCAAAGAAGCCAGGGGGAATATCCATTAGTGGACACCTAGGACCCTGACAGTCAGCCACCACTAACTAAGAGGGGAGGGAAGGTAGCATGAGAGAGGACAGATGTAATGAACGTGTATTGAAAAACGTGAGGGTAAACGAGGAAATACCGCAGAGCCGACCGTAACCAAATGCAAAGTAAGTACATCAGAGTCCAGGCGGAGAGGCTGAAGGAGCAAGCCTGGCAAAAAAAAAAGGTAGCAGAATCCGTGTAGGAGTAAACCCAAGGGGCCCACGAGACCCAGTGCGAGTGTGTGGGTGTGAGTGTGTGTGCGTGTGTGCGCGTGTGCTGGCATACTAGCGAAAGCCAAAAAGGCAAGGGATAACGTGGCCACTGAACGTTGTGGCGAGGTGTTGGCCTTTTCGGTGACAGTTAAACATAAGATAGAATGGGAGTGACAGGGGCCTGAGGGGCGTAGTACCTCCAAATGCATGGATGGATGTTGGCCTCACGGGACCACTAACCTAAGGCGAAGAAGCCAGGGGGAATTACCACTAGTGGACACCTAGGACCCTGACAGCCAGCAACACCTAACTAAGAGGGGAGGGTAATGAGTGAGAGAGGGGAGTATAAAGTAAAAAAATTCCAGTATTATTTAATTTATTTATTTTTTTCTCTCTTCTATCTGGGGAAGGGGGGGTGCACCAGAATTTGTATGGCGTTCTATAAATAATAATAAATAACAGGGTCAGAGTATACAGTTCTTAAACATACAGTGTTAAAAGGAAAAGGCAGTGGAGACACCAAGGGGATTATTCACTAAACCGTGTACTATAGAGAAATTAAAGTAGAACTTATATAGTGGTAGGAAGTTGCCATTTAAGCACATAGTATGAAACATGAAATGACACCCAGCTAAATGTTCCTGGGAGGTGATCTAGGGCAAGGAGTAACCCATGAACCATGTACATGTATAGGTAAAGGGTCTGCTGCGCACCCCTTTGCAAAAATGAACCTAAGTAGAAATATATTGATGTATACCGTTCCTGAGTAGTTTGACCTATATATTGGTTCCTACCTGTAAGGAAACCAAGTACATTTAAACCTCAATCGGTAGTTTCCTCCCGAACCGCCAGAGCCCAGTGAACATAGCCCTCCGTTCGGTAGTTATGATAGACGAATCCTAGTGTAGTTCCAATAGTGTCACTGGATAATTCCCTCAGTAAAACACACGAATTCCCAAACAGCAGCCGTAGTCAGAAGAAGGGTACAAAGATGAACTGAGCTTTAATGGGTGCACACAGCTTTTATGCAAGTCCCCATGCAAGGGGACAGCCCTCAGGGAGGGACAAACAATAGCCAATCATAAACAGTAAAATGTTAACACACACCTACAATTCCCTCCCCTAGCCCAGGAGATAATTTAGTCTGATAAAATAGTAACTTAATTATCTCCGGGCTGAAAAATCACTTTTCCCCAACTTTCAGAACACCCCTTTATACTGGGGGTATCCCCATAAATTATGTGTCCCCTGATAGCCCTGATCTGGGTGACTAACATATTCGAATTTCACCCAGATCGGTTCAGGGGTTCGCAAATTTTATGGAGGTCTTGTGTGACCGGCTCACCCTGGGCTGCATGCCCAAAACAGTTCCACGAATTTGGTGGGTTTTGCCGGTCACATTCGAAAAACATAAAAACGAAGAAAAGTACCGAATGGATCCCTCTGGCTCCTAGCAGCGTTCGTGCCCCTCTGTCAAATGCACCAAAGTACCAAATAGCGCTCTTCTAGCTATTCGGTAAATAGAGTTCCAGCGTTCGACTGTTTGAGACCGGTGTTCGGGAAGTCGAGTGTCCGCAAAACTGTTCCATGCACTCGACGACCAGGTCCCACTGCCTTTGTTCGCTTGAACAAAGATGGCCGCGGTTTTCTCTGCCACGTGGCATTCGACTAACGAACGCTGACCGCACAGACAGAGGTAGCAATTTCACTTAAATCTTTGATGTTTAATGAGCCAGAGGGTGGTCCTCATTCGGTAGTTTCATCTAACGAATGCAATAAGCAGTACATAACGAATAAAAAAAGGGAATGCACACTGTAAATCACATAGGTATAGGGGAATTTCTTCACACTACCTTCATCCCGAACTGCACCCAACACACATTGTTTGGCCGCATGGACGCGCGACCGCCAGTGAGCGGGCAGCAAGGGGGGCCGTCAGTCAAGAATGCCGGAAAGAGACGCACAGCAGACCGAGCCGCCCGCGGAGGCGAGCAGCAGAGGAGAGCAGATCCCCCCTCAGACAAGACACAATACCTCCGGACAGCAAGCCCCAAACACCCACACCACTTTTCCTCGACGGTGCCGGACCAACGAGAAGGACCATCCAAAACGAGCAACACCTGCATCCCTGTAATTCCTCTCCACCTGCACCACAAGACTGCAGCAAGCAGGAAGAGAATGGGAAATGCCAGAGCAGAGCCCAGGAGGACCGTGGACAGACGAGCAGCAGGGAAACAGCAGGCCAGGCAAAGAAGCCACGAGGACCAGGTAAGGATGACCGGAAATATCGACATGCGAGTCGCTAAAAAATTTACGGGATGGAGGAAGGTGATTAGGGGGGTTTAAATAGGGTAACATGCCCCTCCCACAACTGCAGGCTAAGCCTTTACATTTGTCTTCTATTGTTTTGTTATAACTGCTTTTCTAATTTCTCATATTATATTGTATTTTTTTTTTTGTTATTGACAAATGTATTAATAAAAAAATATTTGAACAGAAAGCATTTGGTAGGGCCATTTAGGTTTGTCATTGTATCTATTTTTTTTCCACTTTTTTCAAAAGGCTACTCGTTAAAAAATATAGATTTTTTTTCTAGATGAATTTTATCTATGCATTATTATTTCCTTAAAAAAAATCGTACATGCAAATGTAATATCTTTCATCATGTTAGTGTATTTAATTAACATAGTGGGTTGAGACATGTCTTCCATCATCCAAGCCCAAAGCCAATACAATCTGCTCACAGGTGACCTGTTCATTTTATCCTTGTACATGATAAAAGGTTATTCACGGAGGCTTGAGGAAATGATTGGACACCTAAATCTGTGGCAAATTTTATGCAGAATAATGACTTTCTACAACAGCAAAATGCAATCTGTTTGATCTGTTGTTGCATTATTTCAGCAGATGTGTTCAGTCAATTAGAGGGAGCCTGCCAATCTTAGTAACTGAGACAGGGAATCAATATATTACTCCACCTTGGTTTGCAATATAAACCACGTTGTCACACTGAATTAACTGTCTTGATAAAAGTCCCTGGGGGACTGAAATGTCAACACTGCTGTGTGTTGCTGTAAAATACTGTTGTGAAAGAAAAATAAAGGCAGCATAAACAGAGACCACACAAGCTATGTGTGCTACTCTTTTGTTGCCCATGTTCTCTATAAATGTGTGTGTACGTATGACCGGCTATGTGTCATTTATTTATGGTTACTCTACAGCAGCGTGAGATGTTGCCAAGGGAGTAGTTATTGCAGACAGACATCTCTCAAAAAGGATTTTAAAAAAGTACAATAGAAATAAAACCTTTACGAGATTTAAAAAAAAAAAATGTATCTGTGTCTTTAATGCAGTCTCTCCTTATATTCTGTCTCTAGAGTACTGGCTGACTCACATCTGAGCTCTTAGAAGGAATTTGTTGCATTAGCTATTCACATTGCATAGGGATATCGAAGTCTGGTGGCCTAAAAATGCTGCATTCACATTAACTTCTCTTAGAGGGCTCTTACTGACTCAGAGCATCAGGAGGAAAGTGGTTACTGCCTAGACTAGTGTTGCAGGTCTGATTACTTTCATTTCCTCGCACTGCTCTGCCACCTTGATCCTTTGTCCTAAAACATCAGCATCATGCCTTGCTTTCTCAGATTCTTACTCTGCTCAAAAATTCACTGCATCGTTGGTATTGATAAAAGTCAAGGCCTTCCTTTTCTCAGTCTCTTTCTGCATCAAGTTCATCTCCTCCGATCCCCTCTCAGCTATCACTGACCTGGGCAAAAGAAATAGGTATCGGTTTCTGATGAAACACTATAAACTATAAAGAAAAAAGAGGTGTTGCTAAAGATGTTCTTATTTATAACATTTTATCAGAAAATGATCTTTCGCTTTATGATCACAATAAATAGTACTACCTATGTGGCTCCTAGCTCCCCGTTTCTCTGTCTTTCGTTATCTCCTCTCCCTTGAAGCATCCTCAGTAAAAAAAACATCAAAAGTTTATCTTAACACAACCCTATTTTATCATATTTTTTATTAATTTATTTTGTTCGGTCAGATGCCTGCTGGAGTGGACTACAACTCATATGGTACTCAGCCAACCAGAAGGACTACCAAGAATCATGAAAATTATAAGCTTTATTGCCTGAAAATATTTGGACTATCCAAATATATTGGAGGCAATAATCATATAGTGTGACATTCAAACGCATAAGTAAAAACGCTGGGATACCACATTATATGGAACAGATTGTAAATATTTTCATGTATTGGAGTTATGCAGGCAGACTATTAGACCAAGTAAGGGGTGGAGTTTACAAAAATGAGGATGGAAGTTATACTGGATGGAAGTATTCAAGTTTCCTAGCCTATGGATTCTAAGATTTTATATAATGCATATACTTGGGATTCTGGCCATCTGTTTAACACTGTGGAAACTAACTACATGTGTAGCAGATATTTTCCACAATTAACTCTTTTATCACAGCTAAGATTCTATTCTTGTGTTGCTGTATTCACTGGGCAAGTTTATGTGGCTTAGTGCATACTTAGTGTACATCAGTAAAATGATTAAGCCACCAATTTTTTTTTAACTCTTCACTTCCATGAATTTTCTGTTTGAAAAAATATTAGTATAACATCATACCTCCCAACTCCGGCTCCCTGAGAATCAGGGCACTAGTGGACAGGAGGAGAAGGGGCAGTGCCAGAAATTAGATTATGTCACAAGCTCTGCACCAAAGTACCTTAAACACAGCACTGGTGTATCTTGTGATGTGATTGTGCTGTGAATGTTTGAGGCAGTTCCCCTGTGTCCCCAAAAGCAGGACACCAGAGAACTAAGGTGGGACAGCAGGAGTGGACTGCCCTGTTGGGAGGCATGTAGCATTTATAGGAATCATAGGATGCCTAGCTAGCACATAAACACAAAGTGAAACAATTTACTGTGTAGAATAGATCGCTTTTCAACAAACTTATAATTTATGTTTTGGTGGGCTACAATTCTCTCACACTCCCAGATTCAACTGTAAAGGAGGTGATGTAGGTATCATTCTCCCCCCTAAATGTACCTTTCCACTAATCATAACTCCCCCTGCCCTATCCTTTTCTTCTTTTGAAGTTCACACTGTCCGCCTATTTAAATCCACTCCTTTAAGAATTGCTATCATCTACCGTCCCCCCGGCTAGGCTATTCATTGAGCACTTTTCTTCCTGGCTTCCCCACTTCCTCTCATCTAGCACTCCTTCCCTTATACTTGGGGATTTCAATATCCCAATCAATAACCCCAACTGCACTGATGCCTCTCGTCTGCTCTCTGTAACTTCCTCTTTTGGCCTTACGCAATGGTCCAATTGAGCAACCCATACAGCGGGAAACACTCTTGATTTCACCTTCACCAATCTCTGATTCACCTCTAATCACCTCAATATTCCTTTTCCTCTATCTGACCACCATCTGCTGACGTTTGACATCAGCATACCTAAGACCCAATTGGCACCACCGTCTGAACATCAATCTCACAGAAACCTCCAATGTCTTGACCTAGAGCATTCTCCACTAATCTCCAAACTCTCCTTTTACTTATCTCAAACCTCACCTGTCCTAGCTCTGCAAGCTCCTTCTACAATTCCACCCTCTCCTCTCAACTAGACATTAACGCACCTCCTACATTTAAGCCTACATTTAAATGCAGCAAGAGCCCCCAACAACAACCTTGGCACACCAAGCTGACCTGATACCTCCAAAAATGCTCCAGAACTGCTGAAAGCTGTTGGAGAAAGTTTCACTGTGCATCTGACTTTCTCCACTGTAAATTTATGCTGCACTACAGCTTGGCTCTTTCCTCTGCAAAAGTAAATTACTTCAATACCCTCATAACCACACTCTCCCGTGAACCCAAACAACTATTTCACACGTTTAACTCTCTTCTGCCCTATTGTTCCTCCTCCACCTACTAACTTGACCACCTCAGACTTTGCAACTCACGTTACTGACAAGATCTCTATAATCAGGGAAAAGATCTATCATCTTTTTTCTTCTCCTTACAATACTTCCCCTAACCTCACTCCCTCTGCTGTTCTATGTTCATTTGCACCCATAACAGTGGAAGAGGTTCCTGCTCTGCTCCAGTCCTCCCGCCCTACCACCTGCTCCCTTGATCCAATTCCCTCACATCTCATTCATACTCTATTTTCTTCTCTTTCTCTACTTCTCACTAAAATTCTCAGTCTCTCTCTCCTCATATTTCCATCGCTCATCAAACATGCAACTATAACCCCAATTCTAAAGAAGCCCAACTACGGTCCTATCTCGCTACTGCCTTTTGCATCCAAGATCCTTGAAAGAGTTTTTTATGTGAGATTGACAGACTTCCTCAAGTCCAACTCTCTGCTAGACCCGCTTCAGTCTAGTTTCTGCGCTAAGCACTCTGTGGAAACGGCACTGACCAAAGTATCCAATGATCTACTCGCTGCAAAATCTCGTGATCACTACTCTATCCTTATTCTCCTTGACCTTTCAGCTTCTTCTCATCCTTCGCAATATCAGTCTACAAGATACTGCTCTCTCCTGGTGCTCCTCCTACCTCTCCCAGCACTCTTTCAGTGTTTCTTTCTCTGGCTTTGCTTCTTTTGCCAACTCCTCTCTGTCCTTGGTCCCCTACTGTTCTCCATCTATACTGCATCCCTTGGTAAACTCATTAGCTCCTTTTGCTTCCAATTTAATTTCAATGCGGATGACAAGCAAATCTACCTGTCTTCTCCTTATCTCTCCCAGTCGGTCTTGACTAGTGTCTCTGACTGCCTCTCTGCTATGTCTAATTGGATGGCTGCCCACTTCCTTAAACTTAACTTGACCAAAACTGAAATTCTGGTCTTTCCTCCCTCAAGTGTTGCTACTCCTGTGTCTCTCTCCCTCCTAGTCAACAGTGCTACCATCAGCTCCACCATGCAGGCTCACTGCCTAGGTGTTCTCTTTGACTTGACCTCTCCTTCACGCCTCATGTTCAGTCTATTATTAAATCCTGCCACTTTCATCTCAAAAACATTGCGCGCATCCGACCCTACTTAACGCCAGATGCGACTGAGGTGGTGGTTCATTCCACTGTCCTTTCTCGCCTTGACTACTGTAATCCGCTTCTCAATGGTCTTACGTGCTCCCAACTTGTGCCATTACAGTCCATAATGAATGCGGCGGCGTGACTCATCTTCCTCTCTGCCCACACCTCCCATGCCTCACCATTCTGTCAGTCCCTACATTGGCTTCCTGTAAGATATAGGCCTTAATTTAAAATTCTGGTTCTTGCTTTCAAATCTCTACATAATGCTGCTCCCACCAATCTATCCTCCAGAAT